TGTTTTACAAGTCGCTTATTCCGTCTATCTCTAAATTAACCAAAGATCTTATAAACACAAGATAGCGTTCTCCGCGATTTAAGCGTAACAAATTGAAGCGTCGGTCAAGGTTCAAAAGTTTCCAATTTAGCAAGAGGGCGCCATTCATGCGCTATTATACCAAAGAGAAAAAAGTAATCAGCATTGGAAGAGGGCGTCCTATCTGTTGCCATGGATCTGAGATGGTTCCTGTTCTGCTGTTCACAGGATTGATACCCTAATGGTAAAGTCGAGCGGTCAAGGGTCAAAAGTTTCCAATTTAGCAAGAGGGCGCCATTCATGCCTTATTACAGAATTTGCACGGGTAAATCGCGGAGAACGCTATCTTGTGTTTATAAGATCTTTGCTCTAAATTAACTTTCTCGTTGGTGGCGCTGTCCAGAATGAGAAAAATAGTTAAAAAAAATAAGAGACTTGTAGCAAGTCTAGTTGCACATGTGCAATCACATGCAGTGATGATCACAACCTCAATAATTAGTATACTTACTGAGTAGGTTAGAATAGGCCTAGAATTTACGAATTTTTCGAGCTCAACATCGGAATTTAAGGTCAGAATATTGATTCAATAATTGAAATACATTCTTTTTTAAGTTTATAAACATTTAATAAAATCCACCAAAATAAATTGAAAATACAATTTTTATAATGATGAAGTTGTTTACTTTTCACAAATATGTTGAAATTTGTGGGGATTCACCATTTAGGCCTATGCGTCCTAGATCTGCGTTGAAGAAAACATCTAAGGAGAGAAAAAAATAGTTCTAAAATTTACGCAGATATCGAAAAGGAATGGATACCACATTGGGAAAAAATGTCTCATGTGATGTCGTGAATTGAGACGATTTGGGCTTGCTTTGCCGTTTTAATCATTGTAGGCCTACTATCTATAACTCTGAAATTGTGAGTGTAAACAGCATTCAATATAGTTGGTTCGCCTTGCTACCTCCGCCACCGAGTGTAAACGAATTTGGTTTTTTTTTTAAATTATTTATCATTTCCGAAATATCTATGTCATCACAAAGAGGGCTAGTAAAATAAAAATAAAATGAAAATAAAAGGTTCATAGTCATACACAAATTAATTTAAAAATGAGGATCTGTTATTTTCTTCTCCGCGGTAAGAAAACCCGGAAGCCCAATGTACCGAAAAAGAGTTTGGGCGATGTATATCGTCATCACCTGAGCACGTGGTGGAGGAGAAATTTCTATTATCTTATTGGCTAACATGTGATTTGGAGGCGTGGCTTCTTTGATGGCCTCACCCAGGCGCGACTGCCGAACTTTGAACTTTAACTTTGTTTACGCCGTGAGTTCATGAAAGTCAAACATGGATTCTGAGAATTGGTAGACATTTTAACGAACTTTCAACAGAAAGGAACATCGAAATTAGTGCATACTATTGCAAATTAACTTCGTGTAGGTAAATAAGGGGCGCTAATGCACTTTAGTACTGTAACACTGCTATCTTTAAAAATTGTCTTTTTACCTACTGTGCGCTCCTAACAATATCTTACGATTCTTAATTACACCAGTTTTTAGCATTTTATTACTAAAAACAACGTTCTTTTCCAGCGATTAAATAATGAATTGCCAGGTTGTTATCCAATTTTAAGGACAGCTCTGTTCGTTGCCAGGTTTTTGTTTTTTTTTTCATTTTGTTATAACGATGCCTTTTCATAAATTGTTATTTGTATTTTTAGCTGTATATCGTGGTTCTGGTACAGTGCAATATTATAATGACATATTACATTTAGGGACAAGCTATTATTTCATCGGGGAAATCTGACCCCTCATCGGGACCTCGCCCTTCTTTCACGAGCCATCGAGTTCTGAATATCTAAAGCTTCATTTTGATTTACTAATTCTGGCAACACCAAATCATAAAGTTTGAATTCTGGCAACAGCATTAGGCTCGATCGCCAATTCGCCATTGGAGATGACGGATGGAGCCATATTAGGCTTTAAAAGCCGTGGTTTTTAGTAATAAAATGCTAAAATCCGATGTTATTAAGCAGAATCTGAATGAAGAAACAGCGTAAGATATTGTTAGGAGCACACAGTAGGTAAAAAGACAAGTTTTGAAGATAGAAGTGTTACAGTACTAAAGTGCATTAGCGCCAAATAAGGTTCTTTACAGGCCTGTTGCGCTATTTATATTGGTGGTTTTTGTATTAATTTTTGTACAGCATTGATTGAAGTAGCCAGCGAAAACATCGTAGTAGCCGATCGAATGCGCCGGCCGCCGGGTGTTAAATAAACCCCTGCCGGCCTAGCCTAGTAGAGGCTTGGCGTATTTTTAAGTTCTTACTTACAGAGGCCTATCTTTTTAACAATATTCTACCCTAAAGGCCTAAATCTGTGTAGCAGCTAGCGGTGAGTAAGGTTCCTAAGTATAGCCTACGGTTATCAGTCCATGTCGTTCTCAGCAGGCCAGAACTATATACTAACTGTTTTAATTCAAGTATGGTAGCCAAAAGGGAGCAGGTTAGCTTGTTCTAGTCGAGATATCCGCATCTTCAATTTTGAAAATTTACCAAGATTGATTAATATGCATGAAGTTAGCTAATCACGTGATTTACAAAATCATTCATGCATACGATATCCCACATCAAATTTGATGTGGGATTTCGTACGTTGAATCGTTTGCCAAGGCCCTAATTCGAAAAAAAAAATCGAGTATGGGACGCCAATTAAATTAGGTATGGCGCGCACTAAGTGCAATAAAGAGTGAGTAACCTAAAATTAGGGCCTGGAACCCAGGCTAACTTGTACATTGTAATTGCACTGTATTGTAACAGAAGAAATTATTATAATCACTGGTGCTACAGTCCCAAAGAACACTTTCGCCACTATTGCAGTGAAAGTTTAACTCGTATGGAGCTGAACCGTCTGCAATGTAGTAGCCAGCTACCCAATCTTCAGGCCCCATGTAACCTAGCTGGTTACAAACAACTTGCGAGTTTGCTTCTGTCCACTGATCATCACAAACTTTGGTCCATTGTTCATTGTAATATACTTTCAATCGACCAACATTTACATAATATCCATCCGCAAGACGTACACTGCAGAAACCTGTTGCTAAAAGTCCACATTAAATATCTCTATTAATACCGTCGCTGTACTATTCAAGTAATGACATAAAATAGATTATATATTTTTTATAATTTACTCATTTCAGATTAGCAAAAGCGGTTTAGCGCAGTAGGATTTGTAATTATGGTTTGGATTCCCAACCACTAGGCCTAGGTCAGCGTCTTAATCTTTCACCGTGCATTAGTTTGTGTCCTTGAGTAAAGCACTTTATCTACATTGCTCCGGTCTAGCCAGCTGTATCAAAGGGTACCAGCAAACTTCTGTGGGTGCTATCATCCTATCCAGGGGGAGCATCGCACTCTCATCCATTTCACACTACAAAACTGGGGATAAACTCCAGGTCTATGAGCCCTAGCGCCAAGCCGATACACAGTGTGGGCCACAGTGTGGCAAAGGAAAGTTTTGTTTTTCTGAGCATGTGCAGATTGTGCTTATCTGGCTTATTAGCATAACAATACCACACATAAGGCTAATGCAAGTTAGACAGCTTAAACCAGCCAGCTTCCTATTCTGGTATTAGTTATAAGTCCTTGATTAAAGCAGTATATTCTACTTCTCTCTGTGTTGGATTATTGGGACTACGGTTCCTCCCTCAGCTTTATGTTAGGAGGTACAGTAGTCCTAATCTTCCAACTGCGAGCTTTCGACAGAACAAAATATTCTACACAAATCGGCCATTACTGACCATATGTTGGAACATGACCACACTTCAAACTGGGATGACACAAACATAATTAAAATGAAACATGGGACAAAAGGACAATCATGGAGGCCATCTCGATTAGGAAACAAAAATGGACGATGAACAGAGACGATGGGGCATACAAGCTTTCGCACATCTTTGACCAACTCCTTTAACCTGAAAGGCCGGGGCATCCGGAACCAATCCACTGGAATAGAGCTGGCACCAGAGGGCATTGTTCACACAATGCCAAAACAACTGATGGTAGCTCACATAGTCTGATGGTAGCTCACATAGTCTGACGAAGTCATGTTGATAACATCGATGAAAGCTTGATGTAAGTTAACTTCCATTGTGTTTGGATTATCAACGATCAAAACAGTTCTCCAAAAATTTACATTGGCTATTTCAAGGGTAAAATTACACAGTTTGCACACAGTTCATCTAGCCAGTGGTGCTGTAGTCCATATTCGGTAGCACTGCTTCTGTGCAAAATATGCAAGCACAGGAAGTAGTTGAAATTGAGTGGAATTGACCAATGAAATATTATTAACTAATTATTATTTGAGGTATATTAACTGTAACTATTAGAGAAGATTAAAGGCATAGTTCAACAGCAAAGAAAAGTTATTGAAGACCCATAATCATTCTGAATTGAATCAGCCCATTAGCATGCATGTCCAGCTATGCAGAAATCTGTATGTGTACAGTAATGAGCCACTTCAGAAAGATTTTTTTTTCCACCATGCCCAATCTTTCCATTAGTCAGTGTACATACTGTATACAAGCAGATTCTCTGCTGAGCTGGATATGCATGGTCATGAGCCAATTCAACTCGGCTACAGTACCTGTACAAACAGAAAGATTCTGTATTTTTGACATCCAGTACGTAAATATTATTTAATATTTAGTAATACTAAACTCCTAAACATTTTAAAGACATAGTCAGGGGCGGATCCAGAGAAGTCCGGAAAGGAGGGGTGGGGGGCGATCAAGAAGACACCACCCTAGGGGGTCTGGGAATTTTTGTTTTCTTTCTTTCCTTTTTTTTTACTTTCCAAAAGAGTGGGAAGGGGTGGGGGTCAGCACAAATCTTCCCCTGATAGTTCAATGGCAAAGAAAAGTAATTAAATCCCAATGACCCATAATCATTCTAAAAGTAAACAAATATAATGAAGATGACAAACCACTGCATTCTAGAGCAACATCTTCTAAATGGCCACAATCATGGTTGCTGATGGTTGCATGTTGACATGCCGACAGTCTGGACTCGGTACCAGTGCATTCAACTTCATCTAACCAGATGGGTTGATTATATGCGTTATATACATTATTGATTAGAGGCTCCAATGGCGGTCCAAACCCAAGCTCCCTACAAACCACATTTGCATTCGCCTGATCCCAGTTATCATCACACACTGTTCCCCATTGTCCGGCATAGTACACTTCAAGACGTCCTTTGAATCGTGTATCTCCATAAGATAATCGAATGTCAAAATCTGAAAAAAAAAAGAAGATATACTTCCACATACTGTAATACTATGTGTGGAAAATAAGAACTCATCTGTGCTCATGCGTTCAAAGATTTATTCTCATGTGTGAACAAAAGCAGATTCCACTTGGAGAGGGGGTGGGGGTGTGCCACCACTTTTTATTTTCATTTTTATTGTTGCATTATTTACTCATGTTTACAAGCTTTGCCACTGCTTCTTTTGATTTGTTTACTTGTTCTGTGCTTGGGTTAGGCAATGATCACGGCTGCTTGTGGGTTGTGAGGTACCTAAATATGTAGGGTGCAGTGCTCCGTATCTGCAAAGAAAGGCGCTTTACAAATGTTCTGATTGGATTGGATTTGATTGGTGTTGGGAACAGCAACAGAATAATATTATAACAATTGTACTGAAAGCTATGTTGTGCCAATGTTATGCATTGTCCAGAAGTTTTCCAACATTATTTTACAAAAACATGTGACAACAAAAACATGTGACATGCCTAAATATGGTCATGATGACACCTCATCATGAACATATAGGCACATCATGACTATATATGGGCATACAACAGTCTTTTCAACAAATAAAAATTGATACTGTACTCCGGACAGGGCCTGACTTTATGTTATGATAAAACAAGAATTTAACACGTTGGCTGCCAGTGACGAGTATACTCGCCGATAGGGTGTTTCTGTGGGAGCCAGGGACGAGTATACTCGCCTACTGTATAGTGACGCGTACACTCGTCAAAATCGGGGTGACATTCTAGTGTTTATAACTTCTTTGTTATACATTGTAGAACCACAGACTCAGCGGCTGGTAGTTCAGGGAAGATAGACCTAGACGATAACATACAAATGACATATGTATGTTTGTTGTGTTATGCTTCCAGTAGTACACAAGCGGTCTCTTATACACATCTAGATGTGTATAAGAGACAGGTGTGAACAAAAGCAGATTCCGCTCGGAGAGGGGGTGGGGGTGTGCCACCACTTTTTATTTTTATTGTTGCATTATTTACTCATGTTTACAAGCTTTGCCACTGCTTCTTTTGATTTGTTTACTTGTTCCCTGTCTCTTATACACATCTAGATGTGTATAAGAGACAGGAACAGAGACGATGGGGCATACAAGCTTTCGCACATCTTTGACCAACTCCTTTAACCTGAAAGGCCGGGGCATCCGGAACCAATCCACTGGAATAGAGCTGGCACCAGAGGGCATTGTTCACACAATGCCAAAACAACTGATGGTAGCTCACATAGTCTGATGGTAGCTCACATAGTCTGACGAAGTCATGTTGATAACATCGATGAAAGCTTGATGTAAGTTAACTTCCATTGTGTTTGGATTATCAACGATCAAAACAGTTCTCCAAAAATTTACATTGGCTATTTCAAGGGTAAAATTACACAGTTTGCACACAGTTCATCTAGCCAGTGGTGCTGTAGTCCATATTCGGTAGCACTGCTTCTGTGCAAAATATGCAAGCACAGGAAGTAGTTGAAATTGAGTGGAATTGACCAATGAAATATTATTAACTAATTATTATTTGAGGTATATTAACTGTAACTATTAGAGAAGATTAAAGGCATAGTTCAACAGCAAAGAAAAGTTATTGAAGACCCATAATCATTCTGAATTGAATCAGCCCATTAGCATGCATGTCCAGCTATGCAGAAATCTGTATGTGTACAGTAATGAGCCACTTCAGAAAGATTTTTTTTTCCACCATGCTCAACCTTTCCATTAGTCAGTGCACATACTGTATACAAGCAGATTCTCTGCTGAGCTGGATATGCGTAATCATGAGCCAATTCAACTCGGCTACAGTACCTGTACAAACAGAAAGATTCTGTATTTTTTGACATCCAGTACATACAATATTATTTAATATTTAGTAATACTAAACTCCTAAACAGATTAAAGACATAGTCAGGGGCGGTTCCAGAGAAGTCCGGAAAGGAGGGGGGGGGGGAGCGCGATCAAGATGACACCACCCTAGGGGGTCTGGGAATTTTTGTTTTTCTTTTTTTCCATTTTTTTTTACTTTCCAAAAGACAAACCACTGCATTCTAGAGCAACATCTTCAAAATGGCCACAATCATTGTTGCTGATGGTTGCATGTTGACATGCCGACAGTCTGGACTCCGTACCAGTGCATTCAACTTCATCTAACCAGATGGGTTGATTATATCCGTTATATACATTATTGATTAGGGGCTCCAGTGGCGGTCCAAACCCAAGCTCCCTACAAACCACATTTGCGTTCGCCTGATCCCAGTTATCATCACACACTGTTCCCCATTGTCCGGCATAGTACACTTCAAGACGTCCTTTGAATCGTGTATCTCCATCAGATAATCGAATGTCAAAACCTGAAAAAAAAAAAATAAGATATACTTCCACATACTGTAATACTATGTGTAGAAAATAAGAGCTCATCTGTGCTCATGCGTTCAAACATTTATTCTCATGTGAGCAGATTTCGCTCGGAGAGGGGGTGGGGGTGTGCCACCACTTTTTATTTTTATTGTTGCATTATTTACTCATGTTTACAAGCTTTGCCACTGCTTCTTTTGATTTGTTTACTTGTTCTGTGCTTGGGTTAGGCAATGATCATGGCTGCTTGTGGGTTGTGAGGTGCCTAAATATGTAGGGTGCAGTGCTTCGTATCTGCAAAGAGAGGCGCTTTACAAATGTTCTGATTGGATTGGATTTGATTGGTGTTGGGAACAGCAACAGAATAATATTATAACAATTGTACTGAAAGCTATGTTGTGCCAATGTTAAGCATTGTCCAGAAGTTTTCCAACATTATTTGACAAAAACATGTGACATGCCTAAATATGGTCATGATGACACCTCATCATGAACATACAGGCACATCATGACTATATATGGGCATACAACAGTTTTTTTGACAAATAAAAATTGATACTGTACTCTGGACAGGGCCTGACTTTATGTTATGATAAAACAAGAATTTAACACATTGGCTGCCAGCGACGAGTATACTCGCCGATAGGGTGTTTCTATGGGAGCCAGGGACGAGTATACTCGCCTACCGTATAGGGTGTTGCTGAGGGTGCAAGTGACGTGTACACTCGTCAAAATCAGGTGACATTCTAGTGTTTATAACTTCTTTGTTATACATTGTAGAACCACAGACTCAGCGGCTGGTAGTTCGGGGAAGATAGACCTAGACGATAACATACAAATGACATATGTATGTTTGTTGTGTTATGCTTCCAGTAGTACACAAGCGCGGCATAAGTGGGAGCGACCTTTCAACGTATATCAACCCATGCAAAAAGCGGACGAGATTAAACTCGCACTTGGCATATTCAATAAAAAGTTTCATCACAGTGCCGTCGAAGAGTTCACTCGCCACCTAATATTTTCCCGCCAATTTATTAGCCACATAATTTTGATGATATATTCGTAGATAAAATTTTTAAAACGTATGTATGTACATGTAAGCTTGCTTTGGCACACGGGAAGGAACCTTAAGAAAGTCTGAGAGCCAACGTGTTAACAAATCATTACAAACATAATTCCTATTACAGTAATTGTGAATTTGAAATGTAAGGTAAAATTTACTTCTGAAAGCTGTACAAATAGAAAATTACCTGCTGAATAAACTGAAGCGATAAGCGTCCATAAAATTGTGACTTCCAAAGCGAACATCATTCTGATTTTTAGTAAAATCAATGAAACACAAATTGACTGAAATATAAAGAATATTGAGTTATTGAAAATAATTTTTAAAACTTGCTAGAGTATTTAGAAAAATGGTCTACTGTAGGCCTAGAATAGGCTCAGACCTACCTGCATTCACCATGAAATTCGCACAAAAAATTGTTGTCCTGCCCCGACTGTAAAATAGGTCTTGCGCGGGGGATATATAAGTCCTAGAATGCCGTCTGCACATTTCGAAAAAAGAGGCCGATTTCTGGTCAATTTTTGCCAAAAAATTAGGCCCTGGTTTTATCTCTCAATATACAGGCAATGTATAAGCAGTAGTTACGATTCTGCACACCTGTTTTCCTATATTTCCTGCGCTAATAAAATACTTTACAGTGTGGGGTTCCGCCCCCCCCCCCCATATGTAAAATGTAGTAGTCACACATCTCATGCACATGACAAGAGTGGACTATATACTCTGTACTAAAATACTGTACACCTAGATGTGGGGCTGAGTTGGTGTGGACCTCCCCTTTGTTGTAAGTTTAATGCATTCTTTAACTTAACCTTGTCCTTGGCAGGGCTGACTGCCACACAGGGGGCCTCGTTCCAGCACAGCAACTAAGCAATGAAGTAGTTTTCTACTAGGTCTATAGACCTACAGCAGGTCTATAGCACACTACTAGATAGTACAGTACAATACTAGTGAATACGAAATAGATTCCCTTTCGACATTGGCCTGGCGGAAAGGTTGGCGGTGCATGCACTCCACTGGTAGGCAAACGATTCGCCATGTATAGAACCTGTCTCTTATACACATCTAGATGTGTATAAGAGACAGATTTATAATAGTAGTAGCCTGGTAGTAAAATGCTAGCCTACGCTAGGTGACAGTTCACGAAGAAATGTTTATAATAAAG